TGCTGACGTTCAGGTCTGGCGCGTGACAAACCCGTGTGCCTGGCGCTGATCTCTGCTCCTGTGATCCCCTTCATGTGGCGTAGGTGCAACGACTGGCTCAACTAATGAATTGGCACAAAGGCAACACCTTGCAGGAGTCGACTGAGCGGCACTGGACTGCCTGACTGTCCGGCTGCCTGACCAGGCCCGGCCGGCTGGCTGGCTGATGACTTTCAACTGGATTTAGGCATCAAAGCAGCCACCAATAAAAGCGGCAAACAAAGCGAAAAACTGTGAAACTGGGAAACATGAATTGCTGGATTGAACCCTTCGCTGACCGCCTGCTGCTACTGTTGCCGTTGTAGGTGTTGGTCCCGAGCCTTGACACCTAAAACACGCTCGCAAAGGGAATTTGACACACACGCACTGAGCTCATGTGTGTGCGTGTGTGTGCTCGTATTGTCTGGCCTGTTACAAATTGTTGTGGGCGTTACAAATCCGCTTACGATTCGACCTCAACTTGCCTTTGCTCCACACACACACACACACACGTACACCACACACACACACACAGGCAATTCCAATTTCTAGCATCGAATTTCATCTTCGTATAGGAAATTTTTGAGCGTTAAATCGCCAAAAATCATTCGTTAATTTTGACATTTTCCTTTGTTGTTTAGCTTCACAGTGCTGGGGGTTGGACACTTGGCTGCTGACCAACGGTCAACAGCTGACCCCTGATCGGCGTGGCCCGCAGACGGCGTGTCACCACGTCAAGACGAGACCCATGTGGGTGGATGTGCGTCTGCTGATTGCAATTGTCCATCGGTTGAGATTAAAAATTTATTTCGAAATTAGCGCAATTGTTGGCATTGCTCCCTTTTTGCTTTGTACACATTCGAGTTAAAACTCAAATAAGGGAAAAAGACAATATAAAATACAAATAAAACTGATGCCCTTAACGTATGTCCATCCGTCCGTCCGTCTGTCTGTCTGTCTGTCTGTGGATGCGCCTTCACAAATGATTGAAAATATTTCTTGATTATTTCTGCGAATTCGCGTGACCGACAATGCACTTCATACGAGATATTAAAAGAATTTCCTTATTTCAACTGGGTTTAATGCCTACTTTAGCACCGATTGAATAACTTTTGACGGGATATTTTACAATTAGAGAAACTTGCGCTTGGCTTCGCTGTGCGTAATTTATAATTCACAAAAGACAAACACCACAACCCCAGACACTGTCCACCATTGCTGACCAAGCTCTAACCCTCTTGACACACGACTCTAGTTTTTGGGAAAAAACTGCTCGACCGGACATATCAATCAGACGTTAAGAAATTGGATCGGAACGGGTGGCAGAGGCCGGCCGACCGACACAGTGTGGCCTGGCAATCGCCATTAGAGCCAAACAATAGCGTGGTAATGGCTACTTTAAAATGACACCATTCGGCTTGGTGGTCGTGGGTTAATCGCTGGCACCGACGCGTCGGTGGGCCACCACCCGCTGTTATCAGCTGGATTAGACCGGACCCGCCCTCTTCAGCCGAGTGATAAATGCATCGGCGGAGCAGCGCATTGAGTTGTCAATGTGCTGCAGTGAAGTGGTGTCAAAAATGTTCAATTGTCGGTTTGGTTCATTGCAGCTAAAAATACACATTCGGAAAACTAAAACAACTCTGCAGGCAGTGCTCGACTGGCAGATACCCTGAACTCTGAGAGCAAAGATATATCCTGGCAAATTTTAGAATTAATGAGTAATTGAAACGTGTGAGATCTGCTTTAAAGACTGATTTTTAAAATCGATTTTTATCGATTTCAATGTAGATAAAAAAAAAAATAAATAAATAAAACTATGCTCAAGCTGTTATACTAGACAGACAGATGGGCAGAGGGACGGACAATACAATAGAGGCGACTCGTCTGTGGATCAAGTTCAAGAATTAATATATCCACACCTTCTTCTGTCAGTTAAATTATTGTTAATACAAGGCATATACCCTGTTGAACCATCATTGCAGGGTATTAAAAAACGAAAAGCCATTCGATAGACAGCCCATCGAGTGTTTTATGATTCAATTACGTTCAAATAGAAAAGTCACTAAAAAGCGTTGCATATTAATTTCACACACGCCCACGCACGCTCTCGTCCAGGTGGTTCGCTTAAATTGGCAATTGATTTTTGCGGTTTTCAGCAAAAATGTTGTACAAATTGTGGATATTTTTTGTGTTGGCAATCACTTTGTGAGTTTAGTGATAGCCGATACGAGTGCCACGCCCCTTTCAACACTATAACTAGACAGATGCATTGCTCGCTAGTTGTCTACAGGTGCTGGCATAGTCTGTCATTGTTGTTGTTGTTGTTGTTGCTGACCGTTTGTTTTGCATTAAACGGTTTGTTTTGCTAACCAAAGTGTTGATTTTATGGCCGACCGCCGTTTTTTAGCGACGAAATCACAGTCATATGGCATTTAAAAAGATACACACTCCATGGCTATGCCCGACACAGGGGACCCCACTGGACAACGCTCGAATGGTGTCCCATAGTTGGTTCCCACTCACTCGTATTTACATATATACCCCCGACACTATGTAGAGTAATAGCTGACTTACACGAAATGTTAATGTGCCCCAAGCCCCATAAAAAACTTCATTACATCGCACTAAAAGCGAACGCAATGAAGACAACTAAAACTAAAACCGAATAATATAGAAAAAAACTTCATTTAAATTCAAAAAAGCCAAAAACCCCAAAAAAAAATGGTGCGTGCTTATCGCCGATGCCGCCTCTGAACCCGATGAGCTGCTCGATAAAGCAGCTACAAAAAAATAAATTAAAAATACATTTTTAAGGTAAATGTGGCACTTTAAAGGCAGCTTGAGAAAAGCACATAATAAATATAAAAACACAATTAAATAAGTGCATAGAAAACAAATGCGTATAAAGCAACAGACACAAACTCAAATAAAAAAAAAACACACACAAATTAAAACAACACCAAAAAATTTTCAATTACCTCAACGTGAAAGGGCAGCACGATCGTAGCAACGAGTTCCCTTCCCCATTAAGCGACATCCAAAACAGTTTAATGCCTTGGAAAAATCGCTGCTCGCTCAATTCGATTATATATCTACTCTGCTCATTCTGATCACAGTATTCATATATGCGTATCTAGCTTTTTATATAGTAAATCAAGATCAAATATACTGAATCAAGTTTATGCAGCGCTGAAGTGCCAGCGCGCTAAGCCTATGCTCTTGCCTATCAAACTACTTTCAATGGAAAAATGCTGCACTACTAAGCACTACTATGCTACTAATATTATATTTAAGAATTATAATATTATAATTAAGAATTAAACACAAATAATTATAAAACAATTTCATTTATAATGTATCAAAAATTTAGAATCTTATTTAAAGCTGTAGCGATAACGTCAAGCTAGGTGTAAGGACAGTAATGTGATAAGGTCTCACTCTATTGAATTACCTTAATATTATATTATATATATATTATATATTATATATATATATATATATATATATATATATATGAAAGATGAAAGTGCCTTAAGTAACTGTCTGTAACACAAAATTGTTAAATATCTTGGGAAAATGTTACTTCAACTACTCGTACTACTCTGCTAGTCCTATTTCCAGCTACTGATACAATGTTGGGCATCTTAATAAAGACGCACAAATTTATAATTTTTTTATAATTTTTAATTTTTTAAATTATCTAAAGAGTCAGCTTAATCAAATTTCACTAAAGAGTTAGGCAGCTCCATTCTCTCTTGCGCATCTGAGCGCTGAGCGTGACTGGAATTTGAAGCAACGTTCGTTGCGGGTGTGAGACACGCTTTTCGGAAACAACTGCTGGCTGGCGACGGTGTCCAAATATTTGGAGCACAATTGGAATGCTCTCATAATTGGAGCAGTCGACTAGATAGTTGACTGAACTGCAAACTCGGCGCATGGCAAATGGCGACGACATAAATTTCCACGCTAAAAACAAAAACAAGAAACCAAAAACAACAAAAAAACGAACTGCAGCAAATGCATGCAACGTATGTTCGATGAAAAATGCGTTCGGTTTACCATTAATCCACAACCCTGATCCAGAGCGACAGATCATTACACACGCGCGCGCCAGCCCCAAAAAATTCACTATGGAAATTTATTAATAAAAACTCTCCCAAAAAGCTGAAAAAACATATCTCAGACGTGGCAGGCGGCACTGCACCACTGCATAATACTCGTGCACGGCACAGCAAAAGTTTCGTTTAAAAAAATATGTAAAGCAAAATTTCAAGAGCTTTCCCTTGTCAGTCATCTACGATCGACCTGAGCTAAATTTGAGGTTCTGACTGTGGACGGGTTAATCTCATTTGGCTGCTCCCAGTGGGCATTTCCAACAAGTCCTTACAGCTATAAAATCTATAAACTTTAAAACTCTAGCCTCATTATCGAAATACTTCATTCATCTCTATTCATCTCATCACAAACCGAATATACTCTGTTCAGCTCCTGAGCGGGCATAGAAAAAAGAAAAACATAAGTGGATGTGGAGCGACGCAGCATACACGTGTCTAGCGCATATAACACATCCAGCTACCCATACCAGGCCATGCCATAATTCCATTCTAGTTGCATTTGCCACGGGAAGTGGCACTCGCACAGTTGTTGCTCTGGCGTAATTTATAGCAGCGCCGCCAAATGACATGCTAACTAATAGTAGGCTTCATAACTTATACATACACATACAAAATACACATACGAGCGCGTAATTTATGCCACTGCAAACCCCGAGTGCCCGACTGCCTGCCCACCCCCTTGTTGCACAGCGATCCCAAGCGCTGACAGAGGTCACAACACACGTCAAATCGTAGGTTAATAGACGTCGCTGACCCCAGGCAGTTGCTAGATCAGCATTTGAATATCGACTGCGATACGAGTAAACAGAAAAATAAACGGGCAAGGACAGCGGACAGAGCCGAGATTAATATTAAGTTTCGCAGTTGATGCTAAAAAACGAGTTTATTAAATATCATAATCGGTATAGCTCAGGAAAAGTCGTAGTTTGGTTAACATTTGAAGGGCAAAGAACTGATTGGGAAAATTTCAAATAATTATGCAAGTAGACGCGAAAGCAGTTATACTTCAAAGACACTTTTACCAGCTGGAATAGCCGCTGTTAGCATTTTGTCCCATTCCACCGAAACCGTTGCCAAGTCCTATTTAACCACAGATCATGATGCATCAGCTACCGAGAGTATTTAGCATTTCGTCTTACCATTGCGATTCATTCCGCCGTAGCCACCGTAATTGCCTCCCATTCCTCCACCCATGCCCATCTGACCCATTCCGCCGTTTCCAGATTTGTGTACGTTTGCATAACGCATCATCGATTGGTTGTACGCCTCGAATGGAGCCGGAGGAGTCGAGTTTGGCACCGTGTTCTGGTAGGCCTGGTTGCTCTGGTTCGAGTGCAGCCAATGTTGTCCACCACCACCACTGACCCCACTACCACCATAGCCGCCATGGCCCATCTGCCCCATCTGCCCCATCTGCTGTTGGCGATGCATTATGTGACGACCACATTAACTAATAGCAGCTATACGAAGCTATTACCTGTGGATAACTAGACATGGCCTGGCTACCGGCCGAGCCCTGACCTCCCACGTAATTCCAGTTGAATTCAGCACCACTGTTGTAATCCATCTCACACAATTATTTAGCCAAACGAAAAATTTAAACAATTTCTGGGTTCGAAAATTATTTTTGTAGTTTTCCTATTCCATATGTTTACCACCAGAAACTTTGAAGTCGAATGAATATTTCCAGCTTATCCAGCCTGCGACTCTTTTAAAAATCGAGCACTATATTCGCCGCATACTATTTATTCATATACTCGTTCATGATTCGACTTGCTAACAATGTGTTTCCAAATTCTCGCCTGATTAAGTGATTTGTGGCTTGGCGAATTGGGAATAGCTTTTCTAATAAAAAATCTCTTATAGTTGGTGCTTTAAAATTCTGCTATAAGAATATAGACTGAATTCGCAGTCCTCCCAAATCTGAAAAACAGTCCAAATTTACATCAATACATGTTGTTAGTAGATAGCCTCGCCCTTCTCTACAGATTGCCCCAATACGTATTATACGTGCACCTCTAGGGTGCATGGCAAGCTGAAATTAAACAATATTTTATACAGATTTGTAGTTAAATGTGTTATATTTGAAAAAATCATATAATATATCGATAATTGAATAGACTTATTTGTTTTTAAGCGAGTATTCTTCAGTCGTAGAAGCGCGTCTACAATGTCCCAACTGAGCTTTTCTATTGTCATGTTCCAGACAATCGCAAAACAACTAAACAAATGCTTTAATGTCGGTTAAACAAGGCTTTCATTACTCATGGATATTTTGTTAATAATTTAGCAGGAGTCTCGCACACTCTTTACACCTGTAGAGAACACAGCTGTCGCTGTGCCAGTTGGCAGTAAAACAAGTTTTTGTCAGCGGCCACACTTTGGAGTGGCTGAAACAATTGCCGTGCATTGAGATTCGAGTGCGTCTAGTTCAACGGAACAAAGGAACAGAAATGACCTCATAAATCAAGTTGTTTCGTTATGATCTTCATAAATATATAATTGCTTCATATTCATAAAGCTAATCACGTTTCCTTAGAGGACAATGCCTCGTTGTCCTTGAAGGTTGAGCTGCACTCACGCAGCTCTACCTGCCGCTCAGGTAGTTGGCTCGTTTTTTATGCTCGACAATATTTAAACAGCTCTACTTAGACAATGATTTACTGTCGAGCCGATAATGCTTTACTGGATTTTCTTTTCGTTTTTGAGGCAGCTATTTAAATGCCATAAAATGCCGAAGATATAATTAGTGAATACATATGGATATATCTTAAAAGCTGAAAAACACTTTAAAGGCGGTCTCTGAGTCGTAAAATTGTTTCGTTCACCTGTTGCGAGCATTTTTTATATTCAATTATTGGTGGAAAAAGTGGAGAATTTCATAAATTTCCTTCTCATGCGTGCCACTTCAGTATCACGGCAACGTCCCCCTTCCTCGTTGTCTTTGTCTGCTATATTTGTATTTCTAGTTCTATTTACGTTCAGATCTGATTTCTGTGTTAGTCTCCTCTGGCTGTCTTTCTGGAAGCATTGAGTGTTATGAAGCTCTGGCAATAGTTAGAGCAGCTGGGAAATGGCTGGGAAATGAAGAAAGCCCATTCAAATTGCTGACAATTAACACCTACCTATGCTAGTGCCCACAAGCTATGCGTGCCTCATCAATTGGCTTGTGAGGGAGGGGGAGGGGAAGGGGGCGACGTCCTAATGTTTGTTTTCCCAAAACATTTTGATTTATCAACTCTTTTTAAATTCCAAACATGGCAACATCTTTTGCAGCTAGCGAGTCATCAAACGTCCAGCAACCGTAAGCGATACACTCTACAGAAACAAATTGAACTCTTTAACCCCGCCCACAAACGTTTTGACCCCAAAATCCGGAATCGAATGCACATCGTGTGTTAAGCTGAGAGACATGCTCGGGCCTATTAAAAAATTGTTTATGAAAAGAGAAACATTTTCAAAGCGATTAATCATCGCCAATGGCTTGGCGCGTGGGGGCGAATCACATTGCCTTTGCCATGCTTCCCCAGTCTTCATATATTCCCCCCTTTCATCACAGCAGTCTCTTAATGTCTGCTGATGATCTCCATGGCCCAGTGGCAGCAGCAGCAGCAGCAGCAGCATCAGCAGCAGACATCATATGGCAGCCAAACGATTAGGCACGAGAGTGCCAGCCTTCCATTTCGACTCGGAGCTGTCGGGATGGGGAAAGTGTTAAATGCCTGCCAATTAGTGCCGTCTGTTCGATGCTCCATTGAGATCGTCTCCCTAATTGGCTAAAATATGAATTGCCATACAATTTAATCAGCTTAATAAATCGTAATGGGCATGTGGGCGAAGAGCTCTTCTTTGGCTCTAAAATTCTTATTAAGATTAGAATTGTGCCATATAAAGTTGAAGATATGCGAGGGTCGCCCCACAACTATTGGGCCGCACAGTGATTGTTGCTTGAACTCAAGGAAGTTTAACGGACAGCAGGAGCGAGCGCTATTAGTGAATTTGTTGAAATGAATATTTAAGCAGTCTGTAATCAGCATTAACTAAGTCATCAATGATGATGATAGTCAGTGAGTGTCATGTGAGTGTACTCGAGATGGCAGACATTATGTCTATGATCTGAAATACTAGAAATACTACGTTTGCTCTCAACTGATGAGAGCAATTCAAATTTCCTTTGGGTGTTCGAATTATTCATCAAACTTAGCTCACTTTCTTTCTGCCAGCTTGAAGAATTTCATCACTTAATGAGAACTAAAATCATCCTAAAGCTTCTCATTAATACTATTTTGTTGAGTTGGCTACTTCTAAGGCGACCCTCGCTTATATGACAAAATTAATTCTAATTGATATTGACTATATTCTGTTAATGACGAGCGTTTTCTGGTCTTCCTTCAGTTGGCCTTAAATAAAACATTGAGTTAACCATTTATTTTTATGATTTTTAATGGATCTTGAAGTTAAACAAACAAACAATTTCTGTTATTTGTTAATATGAACTCTCTTTGATCTTAACTATATTGTATTATGCATGTATTTTTTTATTTTACATTTCAGTAAATGATCTTTGAATATTATATTTAAGTTTAGTTTTGAAACTATAGATTTTAATTGATCTTCCGCAGACTGTACCTTTTATCAATATTTTAATTTTTAGTTGATTTTAGTTGATTTATTTATAGATTTATATTTTATTATATTAATTTTAAAAATATTTACTATGAATATGATTTGATTTTTCAGTTGAAGCCATGGGAATATGAATTCCAATTGATTTTCTTTTTATTATATAACAATATTTAATGCAATATTTAATTCTCCCAGCTGATTAATCAAATTAATCTCGCACGCTCCTCTCTCTGATATCTTTATTTACAATTGTTACTTTATTATTAGTTGACATAGTACGCGAAATATTTATGTGCTTAGGGTAATGCTAATATTTTATAGACTTTTCTGAATTATTGGAAAATGCATTTTTCATTTGGTCTTAACTGTGCGTGGGGTGCTATTGCTTTGCTTCAGCATCGAGCTGATGTCATTAGAGTTGAGTTTAAGTTCGGATATGGCAGAACCCACTCATAGCTGGCACATTAGCTGGTGCTTGGGAAAAGGGAAGAATATGATGCTCCATGTGCTACGCATAGTCAGCATTCATCTGTCAATGTTGGTTTATTGTCTCGGTCTTTTGGCAATAACTGTTATTTGAAAGTGAAATGTGTGTAATATTTCAATTTTTGAATGTGCAACCGGATGCTGGACGCTGGGGAGAAAGAGATGTCAGAAATTGACACAATTTAAACTGCTGACCTTTGTCCAGTTGGCCCAACCCCCGTGCCATTAGGCTGGCCTGCCGCAGAGGTCGCCAGGTCGCAAGGTCTCTCCACGCATTGTTCTGCATTTTTGGGTTTATTGTTATTGTTATTATTCTGAGAGTTTTCAGTCAACTGCAACTGGCGAACGGAACTATTTGGCTTTATGTTCGCACTGTGCTGCACTTCTATGGTCATTTGCAGGGGTGGGCGGTTGTCGGAGGGTTGAACGCCGGCACGCGCCGCTGTTGCCGCCTTTTGCTTTAGGCTAATGATCAGGCTCGACCCAACGGAAGCCCAAAGTTTCAAGTGGCTCTTCCACTGGTGGCACTAAGTCCGAAAATGACACCCGCACGAGACTGAAACCCGAACAGAGAGATGAGGCACAGATGGACATAACAAACAGTCATCCCCCGCTATCAATGATGCAAAGAATGCCCCGTTCCTGACGCCGGGTCATGACACCCAGGCAAAAACCAATAAATGTCATCAAATTTATTGCTTCTGATTCAAAAATTCTTTTGTTTGTTTCGGTTTTACAATGATATGTGAAAGGACACAGGACACAGCCCCCGGGCTCAGCGACTGACTTGCATTTGACAAAAACTTTGAACTTCTCGAAAAAAAAATAGTTTACTTTCCACAGATGTCTGTCAATATTTGAAAAATACTTCCAAGTCGAAGCTATTATTATAAGCAAAGAACTTATGACTTGCATTTAGACGGGCCAATATGATGTATTGAAATTTAATAAGCAAGTATCAGACCATACTCTCTTTTAGCTGAAATTAGAATAGCTCTATTACGTCATTCTCTATATACCTATCAACTGCGTCACCTCTACTCACAAGTCCTTCGACTTCAATAAACGATGCTAGAAAAGAGTTTGGCATAGAAAAGTTGTACTTTCAGTAATCTTAACAGCCTTACAATCAAGGTTAGCAAAGTATGTCAACCTATATTATCAAAAATTTAACAATTATAAATAATAAAAGTCGTATCGATGACAGAAGTGCGCATTGAAATTCCATTGTTGGCCGAAGCAACATTTATCTTATATTCCTGCTGCCTGACGCACATTAATATCCCGGTATAGGGGGCACATATCCTGCGGGCGAGTCACTGGCTGAGCGTCATCCATCGTTCCCTCTCCAGATGCCATGCTTTGCCTTCAACTCCAACTGTCAACGCATCGTCAATTCTATTTTTATGTTTTATTTTCATTTATGTTCTTTCCTTTTTCTGGTCTGTTTTGGAAAATGTTTTGCTTGGCTTCCGCTTCGCTTCGTTTGTTTAATATTTGAGTGTAATATTTCAGTTTTTTTTTCGTTTTTTTTTTTTGGTTTCGTCTCTTATTGTTGTTCTTGAGGAGCGTCTGCTGCTGTTTTGTTT